ACTATAAGGAGATTGAAACTGTAATTAAAAAGAAAAAACCCTAAAATGTCTATTCTGACCTTAGAAAGCCTTAGACCTGATAGCTTCATGGAGGATTTCTACCTGCTTATCCTAAAAAAACATTAAAGAGATCAGAAAAGTTGGTAGCTCATTCTTTGAGGTCAGCGTTACTCTGATACCAAGCACAGATAAAGCCATCCAAGGGAAAAGCGCCATAGAACAGTACCCTTTCTGACCACTAGTGCAGAAATTTTCAACCAAATCCTAGCAAACCAAATTCAATGTTATGTTGGAAAGATTGTACACCATGACCAAACAAGATTTATCCCTGAGATGACAGTTTAACAATTAAAATAGCAATACACTACATTAACCGGTAAGGAAGAAAACCACAGTGTCATCTCAACTGATGCAGACAAAGTATTTGATAATCCTTTCATGATAAAAGCATTTAATTAACTGGGTGGTGGTGGTGCAATCCTTTAGTCCCAACCCTCGGAAGGCAAAGGCAGGTGGATCTCTGTGAGTTTGACGCCAGCCTGGTAACAGAGTGAGTTCCATGATAGCCACGATTGTTTCACAGAGAAACCCTGTCTCAAAAAACAAAACAAAATAAAACAAAGCAAAAAATGTTTTAGTCAATTATGAGTAAAAAAACAAATGTCTTTAATATAATGATAAAAACAAATGGGAAAAGACCCACAGTAGACATCTACTCCAAATCTTTGTTTCACCACTTAGCAGCAATCCCTAGATAATTAATTTATATTAGACAGCCCCTTGTTTCATGAGTTCACATGCTATCATGGTAACAAAATATTTTGTTATATTACATTGTATCATAAAAGGACACATGTAGATGGAAGTTTCTGTTCTGCCTAGGCCCACAGCTGTTTAGTCCCAAATAAGCACACAGAGGCTTAAGCTGTTTGGCCAGTGGCTCAGGCTTCTTATTGGTTAGCTCTCTCTTAATTATTAACACATTTCTATTAATCTATGTATCTCCACATGGTCTTGGTTTACTGGAGAATGCCTAGGCATCCTACCTCCTGATGGCTACATGGCATCTCTCTGGCGACTTATTCCCTGACTTTTCTCTTCCTAGAATTCTCCTAGTCTGGTAGCCCCACCTATACTTCCTGCCTGCCTACATCCTACCTCTCCATCGGCCAAAACAGCTTCACTCACCAACCAATAAGAGAAACACATATTCACAACATACAGAAGGACCTCCCCCCATCAGATACATGTGCTTTGAAAACGAAAATAAAGCAAGGAAAATAGATGCGGGGATGCCAGATTAGGACCTATTTTATATAGAGCACAGAGAAAGTATTTTTTATTTACTTGTTACTTAAGAAGGTAAGAGCATCACAGAGTTATCTTCAGAAAGAGGGATGTTCTAGAAAGAACAGTATGTGCAAGTGTCTAGAGTGTTTGCAGCATGTTAGAGGAATATGGAGGATGGTGGTACTGATTGCAGTCAGGATAGTATTCTATAGGAAGAATAGCAAAAGAATTCACAGAAGTCACAGCTAAGCCATATCATGCAGGCCAGAGCAATTTTAAGAATACTCTGGGATAGCAGAAGGGCTTTGACTAGAGAGGAAGCATGAACTAACATCCTTTTAATAAGATTACTCTAGCTGCCAGATAGTCACTTGAAAGATTAGGCCTAGATTATGTGAGACATGGGAGATCTTGGGCAGTGTCCTTCTGTGGGTGACACACACTCATCTCTGACCATTTAGCATATGGTTCTTTCGTATTCACATTCCCCAATTCCCAATAGATGAGTTTTCTGATATCTCTGATATTTCCCCCCCCCTTCTTTTTCTGCCTTCCTCTCTTTCACCGACATTTGTTGTTTGCTTACTAAGAGCCAGCAATTCTTATCTATTGTTTGAGCTTCAAAGATGAACAAGGAGCCGATAGTTCAGTGGAATGACAGGCAAATGACAATGCTGTAATTTAGAACAAAATGCTAAAATGGAAGTTTGTACGAAGTGCTATGAGAAAAGGACAGAAGAAATCTATAATTGCTGCTGAGGATGGAGTAGTGGTGAGGGATTTTTCACAGTAGAGATGATATATTATTAATCTGAAAAAAATTCCTAATGGTCTTTTATTTACTACATTGTTACATTGTTAACTTCATTGGCCAACAAAGATAATTACTCTATTGCTGTTCCTTGAGCATGAAATTGTTCTTTAAAAACTATTACAACTGAGATTTATTCAATAAAAGTATACAATCTTAAAGAAAATATACTATGTATCTTATTTTTATTTATTTGTTTTATTTTTGTGTGTATGAGTGTGTTGCCTACTTATATGTCAGCACTGTATGTATTCCTGTTGTCCACAAAAGTAAGCAGAGGGCATCGACTTGAATTATAGAAGGTTGTGAGCTGCCAAGTGGATGCTGGAAATTGAACTTGGGTCCTCTGCAAGAGCAACAAGTACTGTTAACCATAGAACCATCTCTCTGGGCCCCTATATGTCTTTAAAATTAATACATAATAAACATTCTCAATGGCTTAAAAGTCATTCTCATTAGTCTTCCCATATACAAGTAACAGCATTTCCTATCCTATGTGTTGTATTGTCTCCCACGTATGTATCATTTCCCTACACATGCATACCCTTTCCACATGTATAGCATTATCTCCCTACACGTGTATAGTTTTCCCGTTGATGTATCCTCTACCCACACAGCATATCATCTTTCACACATGTATCATCTCCCCATACATAGTAGCCTTCCCCTATACTTGTATCATCTTCCCAAACATAGTATCTTTCCCCTACACATGTATCATCTCCCTACTCATATCTATCCCTCACACCACTTTCAAGTTAGATAGTACTGTCCTCTGCTCTCTCTTTGGAAGTGTTGTGGCTTCTGTGAATCTAGCAGACAAATCAGATTTTGCATATCAGGGCAGGGCAAGCAGAGTAAAGTATTTACAGCAGCATCGAGGTAACTGGAATGCTCTGCAGCTTGGACAAACTTGATGTGGAAGAAAGAGTAGAACACAGATGGCTAGGGAAAGAGCAGAAGGTTCTGACTGGTTAAATTCCGAATGTTTACACCAACTGATACAAGTGAAAGTCCTTCTAGGTGCTCGTAGCCCAAGAATTGATCAAGTGGGACATCAAGTCAGTACGCAGGTGGAGAGGCCTGGGGGATGGGTGCCCACTTCTAAAAAGCTTATTTCTTTACACAATAAAAGATTCAAAGATTTAAAAAATAAAAGCCATATTTTAAACTGCAGTGTGTGAAAGGCTTTTGTAATTAAAATTCAAAGACCATAATAGAAAACTTAAGTAAATTTATTTTTAAAAAAATAGTGTTTTAAGCCTAGGAATAGAACCAAAACCAGTAAGCAAGTCCAGAGAAAAGTAATAAGCTAGAAAACTGACTGCATGTCAATCAAGTAGCTGACTGTCCTAGCAGGTCAAAACACTCTAAAAATAACTAAAATCTGAAAATAATAATGACAAATTGAAAAGAGTACATAGAAAATGAGTATATCCTAGATTTAAAACAGAGCCTCAGTTAATGTAAGTGAAAATGTAAAATTCTAACCAAATATCTCAGTTCAAAAGTATACCTTCAAAATCTCGGATTTTTCCCAAAATAAAGAAATGCAAAAATCATTTTCTTCATAAGCCTGTGGGAAACAGGTAATTTGCTATATTATTGATGGTGTAAATGGATGTATGTAGGAAACTCTGTTATCATCTAAAGGAATAAATGCCTATCTCCTTTGATCTAGCAACCTGACTTCTGAGGATTTTTCTTAGAGATAAACTTTGCACACCTGCAAAGCCGCATTCCTTCTAGGGACATGCAAGTGACAAAAGCTGTTCCACCTGATTTAACCAAGGGTCTCGACTCAGCGGCATCCCAAAGACCCCCCGCAGAAATAGAACTGAAGCCCTAGAGTTGCAACGTGAGATCTCTTGTTTTGTAACCAGGGAAGCTGAGACTTGTAGCTTTAGAAAGAATCAGCTAGGGTCAGGGAAACCAGCTGAGATCTCTAGCCTAGCCTTTCATTTTGTTTACTGACTGGTTTAGTTTTATTCAGTGCCTCTGACCAACGCTCTGCTCCATTTAGGTCAGGGTTGCTTATTGTAATATGTATCATCACTATGAGTCAGAGGAGGAGAGAGAAAAATGGCAGTAAAGCGGTAACTGTAAGCTGCAGACTCACATGTGGAACCAGTGAGAAATGCCATTTGAGCGGAAAGCGGGTTTGCAAAGCATATTTGGAGACGTCCAAGTCAGAAGCCGCCAGCCTGAGACTCCGAAGGTCCCTCTTTCCAAGACGACAAAAAAAAAAAAAAAAAAAAAGTGACATCAAAGCATTAAAAAATGAACCATACCATAAAATGTCACAGAAGTTAAGTTTTTGTCTTCAGGACCTTTAGCCTAATATATACTCTTGTGCAGGTGTGGCTCGCTGAAAAACTCTTCAATAATGTCCCTTAAAGTACAGTCTGTCCTCCGTGGCTCCCACCCAAGAATTCAACCAAATGAAGAGGGAAAGTACTTTGGAAAAGGAAAGTCAGTACTGAACAGCAGAGACTTTTTCCTTGTCATTATGCCCTCCTAAACACACAGCACAGCATTTACTCACACAGCATTTGTACTGTGTTAGGTACGATTAAGTCAGCCTGGAGGTGGATTAAAGGATAAATTATGTGCAAACACGGCCTGCACATAGTGTCCTGGGATCTTGTGTCTGAAGTGTCATTGTGCCATTAGCTTATCAGTTGTGTTATAAGGGGAGCTATCATCCAGCGCAGACTTACTACAAGCCAAGCACCCGCATGACACGTGATCCTTAGAACAACCCTGTGATGTCTGCTCTCCTCTTCCATCTCGCACATGGGAAAAATGGGGGTTTTGGAGGCTGAGATTAAAAAAAAAATACAAGCAGAGAGTGTCAGTATGGATTTGAACTTGAATTTTACAATCCTGTTACCTGTCCTTTCTGATATCACTAATCCTTTGATTTACAGCCAATACTTTCTTTGATTCTGAAGAGATCCTTATGCTCTTGTGGTCCTATTACAAGTTAATATGAGAATAGGTCTCTGAAAAAAATGAAATTATATTAGAATTAGATATATTATAGTGATATACATTTTAGTTCTTATCCTACTAAAGTCATTTAGTAGAAACTCTAATATGTTAGCTGGACTTTCATGATTTTCAGTAATTACTTTGAAACAGTAGTCTGTTTATCAATCCATCCATCCACTGAACAAATGAAGCTGTGGTAGGCAACTTGCTCTTCTAGACCCTAGAAATACAGAAGATGTCAAAATTTACTTCTGGTCTTTGTTAGATCATAACTTTCTAAATATGAAAACGTTCCATATCTGAGCTAACAAGAACAACTTAGCAATTCTTCTTAGGTCCAGAGGGTTTGGAATGGGTATCCCAAAATGAGGATCAAAATAAGAGCAAAAAAGCAAATGAGCGTCTTTGTTTGGATGAGTTCTACAAAGACAACAAGAAAATAAGCATACAATATCATGGGGACGGGGGAGTGTTAGCACAGATATTCAGTTAAACTGACTTAAGTGAAGAGAAGTCTGATGGGGGCTGTCCTTCTGTATATATGTTTCTCTTATCGGTTAATGAATAAAATACCATTTGGAAAATGAGGCAGGAAGATAGGTGGGACTAGAAGACAAGGAGAATTCTGGGAAAGGTAGGTGGAAAGTATTTGCCAGAACACTGGCCATGTACGCTGCCAAAGAGCAACAGGTCTAGACCCTTCTCTGGTAAGATAAAACCACGTGGAAATACTTAGATTAATGGAAATGGGTTAATTATTAAGACAGAGTTATCCAATAAGAAGCCCTAATCATTGGCACAGATTTATAATTAATATAACGTCCATGTGTTTCTTTGGGGTTGAGGTGGCTGTGGGACCAGGCTGGCAGGACAAAGCAAATCCAACAACAGAAGTCAGACAGATCAAGAAGGGGAAAACACGCTAGTTCTAGAAAAGTGAATCAAAAATGCCAAGGATGAAGACCCTATGCTCCTGCTACAGGGATCAGAGTGTGGTGGGTGAGAGAGAACAGCCAGGGAAGCCAATGGAAGCCCCTGGGGAGATGGAAGGACCAGGTGAGGAGCATTTCCTATCCAATAGGAAATGATACCGATTTTATCTTAAGTGAAATCTGAATCTGCGGAAGATCTTTAAATTTTTTTCAAATTATCCTATTGAAAAACCTCGGCATCAAAGCACCGGGCACTGAACCGAACCCTCTGCCCAAGAACCGGGGCCAGACCACTGGCTGCAAATGCAAGAGGTGATTTATTGAGTACACAGGCGCCTGCGGATGCTACTGCAACTCGGGTGCAGAGCATGCCGGGCTTGCAGGGAGTACAATATTTATAGAGTTTCAATGGTCACATAAGTAACAGGCATTTCATTGGCTCATCTTGGGGGCAGGGGTAGTTCCCACGGACTAAGTTTCCTGGTATTACTTTATGAAAGACCCAGGCATACTTCAGCAATTATTATCCTGGTCCCATGACTACTATGGTGATCATAGACACAACTTGGGGCAAGGGTAGTTGCCAAGGACTAGGTGTCCTGGTATAGTCATATGAAAGTTCCCATCACGCTTCAGTAATTATTATCCGGGTCCCATGATTGCTATAGTGATCAGACACAATTGGGGGTGAGATACCTGGTCTGGGTTTCTTTCATTAGGCAACGGCCTGGCCTTGCTTTTCTTTTCCTAGGGGGTCCTGGGTAGGGGTCTTTCACTACAAAATACACATATTTCAAGCTGAGTCATCAAAAAGGAAACGAATGACCCTCATGGTGCACATGAATTTTTTTTTTGCATGTGAGTTTTTTAAAGCCTCACCTGTAGTTTTAGCTAATGTGCTGACTAGTTTTATGTCAACTTGTCACAAGTTAGAAGTCATCAGAAAGAAGGGAAACTCAAATGAGAAAGTGCCTCAGTAAGATCTGGCTGCAGGCAGGCCCATGAGGCATTTTTCTTAGTGATTGATGGGGGAGGGACGAGCCTATTATGGGTGACATCATCTCTGGGTTAGTAGTCCTGGGATCTATAGCAAGGCAGACGGAGCAAACCATGGAGAGCAAGCCAGTAAGCAGCATCCTTCCATGGCCTCTGCATCTGCTCCTGCCTCCAGATTCCCACCCTGCTTGAGTTCCTGCCCTCACTGCTGTAAATGATGGGAGTGAAATAAACCCTTTCCTCCCCAAGTCGCTTTTGTTCATGGTGTTTCGTCACATCAGCAGTAACTAATTGCAACAGTAACTAAGACAGCTTGGAACATGCCCCATACAAAAGAAACACTACTGGTGACTAAGAAATTGTCTTGAATACTGAGATGTCCATCTTGAAGATATTCATAAGGATGACATCTCCACGGAGGGTGGCACATCAGCTCATTCTATCTCCAGTCTTTTGTGGCTTGTTTTGAGCAGCTCTCAGGGCCGATCTGCTTTGGGACACAGATAGGAAACTTTCTTTCTGGGTGGGGTGTGGACGCCATCTTCCAGAAATGTGACACTGTGTGCAGTTGATCTATATTTTTTTAGTGAAAAGTTCACCCTACCAAAAACAATTTAACAGGATGCTCTTCAGTCACAGCAGAAAATCCTGGACTCCTTCATCAGCCCTGAGGAGAGTTCTTTAATTGAGACTGGAATTTGAAAAACCTCCTTTTCGAATCTGTCAGAGCTGAGCTACTGATCCAACCAGTTCAGCATAGCTGCCCTCAGAAGTCACAAGTACAAGTGGGACTGTACATGAAAAAGAGGGTCATAGTAACCCAGTCTCCATAGAAACTACATAAACCATCGGTGGTGGCTCTCTTGTCAAATAAAACATAATTCATGACACTTTTAACATCATTGGCTGAAAATAAAGTGCACAATTATGCCTCATAGGATGGTGAAAAAAAAGCTGATAAAGTGCATTACTAAAATAAGCAAATTACAAAATTATACAGGCAGTGCAGATCACTACAGCCCCGAAACCTGGCTTTTGTTGTTGTACAACCTGAAGTTGCTGGTGCACAGTACATCATGTCTCCTTCAGACACAACCTGAAGACGTCCACACTCATACTTCAAAAAGATGTGAACTTATTTCGATAGGTTCTTAATTACTGTTTTGTTTCACTATTTAAAAAAATATGAGTAACAAAAAAAAAACAAGGCTAACTGCCTAAAAAGAAAAAAAAGACAATGCAAAGATTTACAAGTTTATATTCATCAGTCATTTGTAACAATAGAGAGTCAATTAGTGAATGAGTTACAAGGGAGAGTGGAGCAAGACAGATAGGGAGAGAGAGAGAGAGAGAGAGAGGCATTTTCATTACATTAGTGTGTGCTTATGAGGAACAAACCCTCTGTTTTCCTCAATAAAGCATTTTTGGTGTGGAAATGCTGTCCTTCCAGTGAGTAGAATGATTTTTTTAAAATTTCCACCTTTACTACCAAATGTGGAATTATGATTATTTTAAACCATTAAACCAAAAGCCAGGCATGAACATGGGTTTCATCTTAATTTTAGAACAGGCTGAAAGCATACATTGGTGTCCTTTGTTTCAAACACACCCTGGAACCCAGCAGACCACATTCAACCTAGTTAAATTATCTGAATGGATTTTGGGGGAAGAGAAAAAGAGTCTGTTCATTTTAATATACCTTCAGAAATATTTTACTCCTTGATGATGACAGCAGCTCTCGCTGACAACTATTAATACATTATAAACACCCCATCAGAGTTATATAAAAACATGTCAGTTTTAAAGAGAACATCTTTGACAGCAAATTTTCTGATTGTGAAACAGCTGTGCCTTCAGCACAATGCATTAAGTAGTTTATTCCTTTTAGATAGTTAAATTGTGCATGAAATGTTGCTGGCGCAAGGGCTCCAAATCTGGCCTGATTAGCGAACATCTGTTACATTGGAAAAATTCATGTCTACCCTAATTAGCTGTCAAGCTGATGTACATCAGGCCTGATGGTGAGGGATCCTGTGCTGTTTAAGTCAAACAGGTTCCTCTCCTCTTCTGTCACCTGCCCTTTCAAATCTCTCCCTTTCATGTGTTGCTGTAATTAGAGATGGTTGGACATACAATGGGACAGGCTACGGTCAGTTATAGGCCCATCTGTGCAATATATTTACTCCCCCCTAAACTTGGGAGCCAGGAGATAAAGTACCTCCATGACAAGGAGACTGTTAGACAAGCTTGGTCTACGACACTTTGATAATCCTGGCACGTTGACATCCTTGGAAAGACTCTTAGAAACCTGGAGTCTCCGTTCTGTGGCTGCTACAACCAAAACTGCTGAAGACTTGGTCTTTGTGGTGCTTGCTTTAAGCAGCAGTATAGACCCCCAGCCCTAACAAGAACTGCTGCAGAGTACTGTAGGCCCTATAATGTATGGGTAGGTTTTAAAAGGAGCCTGGGTTCTGGGTGGTGGTGGCGCACGCCTTTAATCCCAGCACTAGGGAGGCAGAGGCAGGTGGATCTCTGTGAGTTCGAGGCCAGCCTTGTCTACAGAGCAAGTGTTAGGACAGCCTCCAAAGCTACACAGAGAAACCCTGTCTCAGAAAACAAAACCAACCAACCAAATAAATAAATAAATAAATAAATAAATAAATAAATAAATAAATGGGGCCTGGGACAGGCGGAGAAAGGACTGAGTGTTCTGTACATGGAACTTTCACAGCAGAAAAAGTGACTGTAGCCAGCCACACAGGACAAGATGTGATGGCATCTAGTGTATACAGAGATTCCTAATGCAAATACAAACTTTCACTAATATACGGACTGTAAATTCCTGTTTTAAACTGTCTACCCTTCCAGTGAACTGGAAAGCAGAATTTGAAGTATCCCTATCAGGAGACATCCTTATTTGCCCCTAAGGGTGACCTGGGGCTGTGTTCAGGTTCAGCCTGGAAGACTAAGGTCATGAAGATGACATCAGTGTGTCTCCTTAGGGTGTGACTGGTCCTCAGAGGGATGAAACATAAACCATTCTGACTTCAGCTTGTCCTTTTAAGATAACTCGAGTGTAGGATTACTGTGTCCTAAGCATATGTACCTGAGGGAGAATGACAACACTTGCTGAGATCCAGGAGTGGAGGGTGTATGCTCTATGAAAAGTCGTATGTGGCTATAACTGAGGGAACCCCCTTACTCACAGCATCAGGGAGTCTGAAACTAGACAGAGTCTCACTTTAAATTCTGAATGGTCTCCAGTTGCAACTGGACTTGAGATTGCTGGCCCCGAGGAGGCTGGGTTCTCCCTCCCTCCCTTCTTCCCTTCTTCCTTCCTCCTTCTGTTCTTTCACATTGAACACATCCGAAGTGTAACTAAGGAAATATTTAAGTATGGTCTCAAACACCAGCCCTCTGATGTCGTTATCGGCCTTGCTTGAAGGAAAGGGCGATATTTATTGAAACTTCATGCTCTACAGTTTCGGACACATTGCCAATATCTACTGACCCACCAACCTTGATGCCTTCATTTTCTTTAATGCACCTATGATTTTCATACTTTTACTTACATATTTGCTTACAATAGGGTGCCATGATCTCTTATAATAGACTGTAGGGCCACTAGAGATGGATATCATGGATTTTGTACACATCGGGGACTCGATATATGTTTGGTGTGTGGATATTATGTGGCACAGAAATTGAAGATTCACAGGCCTACGTTGAAATGCAGCCACCTTGGCTAAACATCAGTGAGTCACAAGTAACTATAGTTATCTCTCATTGCCTAGAGAAGTCACTATAGGTTAGTTGGGGTCCACTAGAGGCTGGTTTAAAGAGTTCAGGGACCTTGTTTTAAGGAATGTGAATATAAATGTTCACCATTCACGGATGAATTTCCTTCCGCCTCTCAATGTCTCCAGATCCATGATCCCTGACAGACAATGCGGTCTCTTGGGGCTCAGCTGGTGTCCATCTTGTGCTAGATTTAGATTTGCATCTAAAGCATCCCTACTTGGATACTCAGTGATGCTTGTCCAGCCTGGACAATGATCCCTGAACTCTTGCTCTTTCCCCACCTGCTTCCCTAGACCTTTTCTCTAGCCTTCTGCATTAGTTCCTAGGCTATCAGAACTGTCAATATATGAAACACTGTAAGAACAACAATATGCTTAATTCTATAGATTTGAGAGAAACTCTAAGCTCCATTTGCCAAGCACATGCCAAGCCTGTAGAATTCAAATTGTTCCAATATCAAAACTATTTTGTAGCACAACCATGAATTGCTTAACAATAGGACACATTCTAAGATTACACTAATAGTTGATTTTTGTTCATTGTGTCGAACACCAGACTCTGCTTACATGAATTAGGATGACCATAGACAGCATTTCTAGGCAGAATAGCTGCATGGGAACACTATCAATATATGGAGGATGATTGATGGCAAAGGGTTTTATGTGGTAACTATAACCACCAAAAAAGAAAATTGCAATGTTCCAGGTGGTGGGGGCACACACCTTTAATCCCAGCACTCAGGAAGCAGAGGCAGGTGGATCTCTGAGTTTGAGGCCAGCCTGGTCTACAGAGTGAGTTCCAGGACAGGCTCCAAAGCTACAGAGAAACCCTGTCTCAGAAAGAAAGAAAGAAAGAAAGAAAGAAAGAAAGAAAGAAAGAAAGAAAGAAAGAAAGAAAGAAAGAAGGAAGGAAGGAAGGAAGGAAGGAAGGAAGGAAGGAAGGAAGGAAGGAAGGAAGACAAGGTAAGGTACAATGTGTGGAGTATCCTCTCCCCTCTTTTTTGTTTATGGTTTTAAACATTTCTTCAATTTTACAGCACATTTCAAATGTCTTAATACAGATTATTTCACTCAAATCTAGTAGTTATTTTCTATTTTTAAGCTCTGGATATACTGTTAGCATTTGAAAACAAACAAACGAACCTGAGGCACAGAGACTTTTGGATATTTACCAGGCTAGACTTCACAACTATCATCATTCACAGCTAAAACAGCCAGCTTGACTACAGCCCAGGCTCTTTATTTAAACATCTGATACGTGCCATTTCTAATTCACAGCTCTCACAATGCCCACAAGTTCCTGTGAGATTTCTGTCCTCATCTTTAAAAGAGATAGAATTTAGACATAGAGATGATGTGACTTCCCTGCAGCTTGCACAGTGATAAATAGCAAGGTAAGAAAAATCATCCAATGTTACTTAACCGACACAGCTTCACAGCTGCCACTCAAGTGAACTTTATTTTCATAATTTAAATGCCCTTTAGAAAAAAAATAATGCTTTCAGAGCTAGGAAGACGGCTCAGTGGTTAAGAGCACTAGCTGCTCTTCCAGAGGACATTGGTTCAATTCTCAGCACCTACATGACAGCTCACAACTGTCCAGATCCAAGGGATCCATCACCTTCTTCTGGCCTCCAAGGGCACCAGACATACATGTGGTACACAAACATACATGCCAGCAAAACACCCATACACAGAAAGTAATAAAATAATTTTTTAAAAAGTTTTAAAAGTAATGCTTTTATTTCATTGTATTCTTGATTCCTTGTGAAAGAGTCTAATGAAAACATCTATTTGGTTGAATACTAACATCCAGAGGAGTCTATTTTGGGGAGGTGGAGTGAATCTAGTTGGGTAGCCTTGTAATAATCTATACAACCTTTTACCCACACTCCTGCGTCAGATTAGGAAATAACTAAAGTGAATATAGATGTCAACCCAAAGTAATAAAGACTCTGATATCTTCTCTTTGGTAACTTTATCATTTAACTCCAAGTCTGAGTTCCGGATTCCACTAAATACTGATCTTTGGAGTCAACTCAGTGAGCTGTGACTGGCGTTGAAATAATTTAGATGATTCAGAGACTCTGTGCTTTATACTCATATAGTAGCTGTGTGTGGTTTTGACAAATTTCATTAATAAAATCAAAAGGGTCTTTTCTGCAGTTAATAAAGAGTGATAGAACAAAAATATTTACTATGTACTATGCCAGCAACGAAATTAACCAGTAATAATTGTTTTCAGTGGTACCAATCAACAGCTGAGAAAAAATCCCACAGGTCATTATATTTACCAAAATTAATGAAAGGGTACTGCCTACCCTCTTGTATACCACTCCCTTAAGCATGCTAAGTCACACACAAACACTCACAGAGAGAGAGAGAGAGAGAGAGAGAGAGAGAGAGAGAGAGAGAGAGAGAGAGAGAGAGAGAGAGAGAATGCTAATTCTCAGTGTTTTGGTTTGCTTCTGCTTCCTCTGGAAGCAATTTTATAAACTTTTGAACATTTTATTGGTGATACAGCAAATTCCTTATTGCTATTCCAAGCCTATAATTTACCTTGAGCCTGCTGATGCCAACCTTCCAGAGAATCACCCCCGTAGTGCTGTAGACAGCAACTGAAGGTCAAACCTTTCCTGTGGTGACTTATCTCCAAGTCTTCCGCCAACAGGCAGCAGATGTACACTTTCCTTCAGAGGACAGGCGCACACAGGTCATTGACAAGCAAGGAGGAACTCATTCCTCCTAGAAGCTTCACACTGCAGAAAAATGGGAATACATTTGAGACAACTTAGACTCCCCCAGAGTCTAAGCCTCTTGTTTTTAAGTAAGCAATTAACTTCTTCTCGGATGTAAAGCGTGGCCCAGTATCCTCATTATCTGGGAATGGCTTTCAGTGGGTAGTGTGGCTGACCACCCCAAAGACATACCAATTGGATGCTGCTTGCTGGTGTCCATTGAAAGAATATGAAAAAGAGGTGCTCGATACAACTTTTCCTTGGGGTTAATATTATTGCATTGTAAGTGTTGCAGGAAGTAGTGGTGGCTGAAACTCCTGATTTGGATGAGACTCACTGTAGTGATGACAGGAGAGGCCACCTGGGTAAGGAGCCTAGAATCATGTGTCAACACAACTCATTAGGTCCCATAGTTAAAGATAACTTGAGTTCTCAGGCCAATTCTGAATTCTCTTCTCAAACACGATTCTCTGCAGACCTAAAGGGAAAAAAAAGTGGCAGATCATACTGAGTAGAGAACTTTGGGAAGAGTTCCTCTTCCTCAATGGACTCTTCGCCAATATCTTGCTTTTGTAATGAGATTGTTTAATTTTTACTGTGGACATGTTACATCCCATCACTCCGAGTCTCTCTCATTTCTTTATTGGTGTGTGAATCATAAGACCTGAACTCAAGACAAGCAGAACTGTTTGTGAGAATCAAAAATGTTACCCTGTTCTTATGCCCAAAGATGAAACAGCCCACTAAGAACAGGAAGCTGAATCTTTGTAGACACAACCAAGAAACAACTCTCTCCATCAGCCAGTATTGAGATGAAAATTAAACTTAGATTTCCTGACATTCTGCTCTTGTTCTCTCACCACGAGACCACTGTGAAATCATCGGACTTACACTATAAGCCCATTCTCCCCAAAGCCTAACAAATTTATAGCTTCACATGAGCACCAAAGCAGAAGTTATCAATTACTTTCAAGGTGTCTAACTTTTAGCTGGGAATACATTGCTGTAGACATGTGATGGCATCTGTAATTCCAGCCAGTCCTCCAGGGACTCTCCAGGGATGCCTTTTGGAGCCCTCTGTAAGATAATAAAGTAGGTTCTGGTCAGACATGCTGTACCTCACCCTCTGTAATGGCTTGCCACATAAATCTGGGCCATGATTTACATTTGAAAGCCCCAGATCAATATTTGAGGAGGGATTATTTTTTATCAACTTGGCTCTAATTCTCTGAAATATAAAGTTATTTTTTTTAAATGTCAAGACCAACTACACCCACCATGGCATGAAATGGCTTTGTCGAAAAAGTTGGAAAAAAATTAAGCGTAAATTTTGTGTTGACATAATTCAGGTTAAGTCTAAAAAAGAAAAATACTTACTTTTGTAAAATGAGAGGCTATTTTATCACCCAGAGAATGTCACATCAATTGTAAAGCCATCAGCCCAAGGTTTGCTGGTGATTGCTTCATATTTACTGTTAGTCCAGCGATGGGGATGGTACTTTTACAGTCTTTGGACAGACTAGTGAGTGTGACATTTAAAGTGTTGATTTTTGCAGCACTTATGTTAATTGTTGTAATTTTCCTGATGAACCACCATTCTGGTTTCCTGATGCAGCCAAGATAGTTTTACATTTTCTATGCAGGGCCTCTTTGCCATTTGGTCTGTGTAGTGTCAGCTTCGAGTGCTACTGAAAGCAGACAAAATTGCAAGCAAATTGCATCAGATTGCCAACATTGTGAAAAGGTAAATTGCTTGCAAATCTATTTAAACCACTGCCCTATTTTCATCAGCTTCAGTACTTGGTATTCATGATTGCTTAATTGGCGACCTTTCCTATTGTGCAGTGCTTTATGGCGTAATGGAAAGCGATCTTTACCAAACCAATTACCCTTTTTTTCTCAGCACTACATTATTGCTGTGATTGCAACTGCCAGTCCTTTGTAAATGAACTTTCTGATTTCAATGATGTTTTTAAAATGTAAGATAGAAAAAAGTGGCATTCATATTGTGCAATGTTCTATTTTGAAGCCTCTTTGTAGTCACCATTGTCTGGGGAAATGGACTGAAGGGTTACACAGTACCTACAAATATCCATGTAACTATTATTAATATTATTATAATGTCCTCCTTTGTACTGCAGCTCAATTAGGAAAGGATAGGAGAAATATTTTGTCACCCTGTCAAGAGCACAGGAAGTGCATTTGAGGCTTCTTTTTTTTTGACACATACATTATCTCTAGTAATAAGATTCATTTTAAGGAGTGGTGATGAAGATACGAAATCAATTTAAATAAAATTCACATCGCTAGTTTTATGGTCACTCGACATTTTAAAAGCAGTCTTGAATGTGATAGTCAGACTTGGGATACAAGCTTAATATTATTAGAGACAGTGGTAGGTAAGCATGCTTAGAAATGGTAACTTTTTAAGGTCTTATGTTCCAAACACAAATGCCAAAGCTCAACAAAATATGGGTCTCCCAGACATTCAGAGCTAAAATCTGTGTCAACAGATAAGTGTCTAGAAATCAAATAGAATGAAGACACTTAAAAAAATCCCTCTACTATTATTTCATGAAATTCATATCTGCATGAATTCTCAGGAAGCTGGTACAGTGAGTTGCTTCCTGTTTACATATTTTTATGTGATTTAGAAAATTATATCATTCCTCGTAAGTGTGCATGGAGAAAGTAATTTAGTCATTCCCTAATACTATAAGTGGCAATGGATGTATCCTCCTACCCCCTACAGCCAGGAACTCATTGTATGAAGGACAGTTTGCAGAGATTTCTTTTACTCTCTTCTCATTTCATTAGGAAAAAAAATGGAGTTCAGACAAGGCTAGCCTGTGATGATCAGGTGACTGCTGATTTTAGCACCTTTGGAGTAATGTAATGATTTATTTACAACACAGCAACTTATTCTTTGAAAGCAGAGAACACGTCTATTATCTGCCGCTTATGTAAGTATTCACAACAACCAATTTCATTGGGTACTGAGGTCTAATACAGTTTTACTTTGGATCAGGAGCAGAGGTTCTTCTGGAACAATTAGACACGATTCAATTTCCCACTGTAAACATAGTTATATATGTACAGATGGGAGGGTGACATTTGCTGGGGTGTTTCATTTGTTAAAATGTGGGATTTTTTTAAAATGTTAATTGGGGGACTGGAGAGATGGTTCAGTGGTTAAGAGTACACACTGCTTTTGCATAGGATCTGAGTTTGGTAGTCACCACCCATGTTGGGCAGCTCACAACTGCCTGTCACTCCAGCTCCAGAGAAAACTGACATCTTCTGGCCTCGTCCGGCACCTGCCTGTGCACATATGCATGATTTTAAATAATCTTGATAGCCAGGCGGTTTGGGTGCACGTCTTTAATCCCAGCATTCGGGAGGCAGAGGCAGGCTGATCTCCGTGAGTTCCAGGTCAGTCTGGTCTACAGGGCTAGCTCCAGGACAGCCAAGGGGTACACAAAGAAACCCTATCTTGAGAAACCAAGGAATCAATTTTTAAAAAATAGTTATAATTATTATCATAAATATTTTAAAATGGGAGCAGGGCTCCCAAAGTTCTCTCTACCTGTGGACTTTAATATATCACTTTGGTGGAATGATTTTAAAACTCTTTTTCTTTTCTTTATTTCCATTTATGAATTTATGTATTATTTATTTATTTATTCATTTTTCTGGGACATGGGAAGCAAATTGATTCATGACAGGAGAAGCTCGTGAGATACCGTGGACAGGGATCACAGAGAGTGTCTTGACTACTCATCCATTCATCTCCCTGAACCAGAACCAAGTCAGTTGATGGTGACCTGAATACTCACGATGATAACTCACAAAGCCAGGGCTTACAAGGTGCCTGGCACTATAAGACCTTTATCTGGCTCTTGTAATTTAATGCCCCCCTTAAATTGTTGTGAGGAGGAAGTGGGGTTCTTCGTAGTTTCTAAATGAGCCAGTTGAGGCCGAGGCTGCTGAAGAACCATGAGGAGTCAGCAAGGTAGCTCGTAAAGGAATATGACCCCAAGCAGGCTGAAGACATCACTGCTCCACTTGTCTTTCTCTGTTTTGAAACAGAATCTTCTCTATCCATAGCCAGATTCACATCCAAAATCGAGGGTCACCTTGAACTCCTGGCTCTCTAGCCTCTACCTCCCAAGCACTGGGATCCCCCATGTATTGACTAGTTCGTGTCAACTTGACATGAGCTAGTCATCTGAGCGGAGGTAGCCTCAACTGAGAAAAAAATGCCTCCCTAAGATCAGGCTGTAGGCAAACCTATAGGGAATTTGCTTAATGATTGATGTGGGAGGGCTCAGCCCATTGCGGGCGGAGCCATCTCTGGGCTCAGGTTCTATAAGCAAACAGGCTGAACAAAGCATGGGGAATAAGCCAGTAAGCAGTACCTCTCTGTGGCCCCCGCATCAGCCCCTGCCTTCAGGATCCTGCCTTGTTTGAGTTCCTGTCCTGACTTCCTTCAGTGACTGACTACTTACTTTTTAGTCACTGTGTTTCATCACGGAGATAGTCGCTCTGGCTAGGACAATCATCATTCCCAGTTTTTACTGTACCAGAAATAGAGCTCAGAGCTTTCACATATGCTAGGAAAGTGCTCTGCCAGCTGAGCTATAGTACCAGCTCCTCCCTTGCCTCCTAATTTTTCATTCTTGAACTGAGGCGTGGAAGACTGCTGGTTAACCCAAGAATCTAAACACGTGATGTCTTAGTGAGGGTTTCTATTGCCGTGAAAAGACACCATGACCACGGCAACTCTTTTTTTTTAATTATATATTTTTATTTTATGTGCATTGGTGTGCTGCCTGTATATGTATCTATGTGGCAGGTTGGATCCCCTGGAACTGGAGTTACAGACAGTTAGTTGTGAGTTGCTTTGTGGGTGCTGGGAATTGAACTCAGGTCCTCTGGAAGAGCAGTCAGTGCTCTTAACCACTAACCCATCTCTCCAGCCTGACCAGGGCAATTCTTATAAAGGAAAACATTTCATTGTAATGGCTCACCTGCAGTTCAGAGGTTCAGTCCCCTATTATGGTAGGAAGCATGGCAGCATGCAGGCAGACATGGTGCCAGAGAAGGAGCTGAGAGTTCTTACATCTTGACTCACAAGTAACAGGAAGTGATCTGAGGCACTGGGCAGTATCTTGAACACAGCAGACCTCAAAGCCCACCCCCATGGTGACATACTTCTTCCAACAAAGCCACACCTGGTTCAACAACCCACACCTCCTAATAGTGCCACTCCCTTTGGGGCCATTTTCTTTCCAACCACCACAAATGAGTGCTTGTTTATTTGTTTGCTTCAGACAGGGTTCTCTGTGTAGCCCTGGCTGTCCTGGAAGTTACTATGTAGACCAGGATGGCCCTGAACTCAGAGATCCACCTGCCTTTGCCTCCAAAGTGGTGGGATTAAAGGCGTGTGTGATTTTTTTTTAGCATGGATGC